TCATAATTTTAGTGTCTAATATGAAAGACGATTTTGATAAACAATAAATTCCATTTAGTGATTTGATATAAAGACTTAAAAACTTAAAAAAGAGATTTCATACAATTTTTTGTAGAATTTAGAAAATTAACTATTTTCCTATTCATTTGTGTATATTGTGGTGAAGTGAAAAGTCGTTCTAGAACAATACACACTTGCAGTTTGCGTTGAGACATAGACGATAGCTCCTAATAAATTGGAAGTCGTCAAAATATATTCAATTCCAAAATATATGTTCACTAAGCAGAAAATGTTCTTTTAAATCAATAAGGCTTACTCTTTTCGCTGTAGAACTAGCGTGAGGGTCTCTTCGGCGATGTTCCAGGTTCTTTGGCATGTGCATTCCGAGACTAAATTCGTAGAGCATGCTTCCGATAGTTGCACCCAGAAAAGGACCAATTATTGGCACCCAGAAGTAATAATTACGATGGGTGAAAGCTGCTTTACCCCAGCCTGACCAAGAAAAGATGGGCGGAGGCAGTTACATTTGAGGAAAAGAAAATGATTGAAAGGCAAGTTGAGTGAATTAAATCAGAGGATTATTAAAGTATTGTAAAAGTGTCAATATAATAAACATCATGATAGGATTGTTTAAACTGAATGGTAACGAGCTTGAAGTAACCTTATTTTACAATAAGTGATCAAGATAATTAGATGTTTTAGACGGCCTTTCAATTAGTATACGTGAATATTGCTTTATATATTAGAATCTAGATTGATTAACTATAAAAAGTGAGCTATACGATTCTTATAGCCATTTGGCTATCTGTTAGAAATAGGTATTTTAATTTTTCTGACATTTACAAAATATTTAAAAGCCAGGGCATACGGATGATGTCTTATTTCTTAGGGATCCAATAAAAAGCATAAGATGAAAATGACCATTCACTTGAAGCTAGTGAAATGTATTAGTTTTTCCGGCTACCAAATTAGCTGAAAATGATATAAAACTAAGTCCAACCCCTCCTTTTACTC